TTTTCCCTTTAAATAGGCTTTTGATGTGTTTTTCTACACTGGAAAAACTTAAACCCTCAATAAGTCATTTTTACTTAATAAAGTGCATTTTTCCTTGAATTGAGGAGGTAAGTGTGAATTCTTGCCAATGGAGCAAGACAATTTACATTTAGAATAAGAAAAAAACAATTGCAGTGTCTTATTTCAAGGGCATATTATCTAACTATCTTATTCTAAGAGTAAATATACTCATTCCATTGGCAAATTATCTTATTTTTCTACTCAAATTAGGGGTAAATAGACTTAATTTAAGACATGTTGACTTATTTCTAGATCGTTTTTGCAGTATACAGTAATATCACTAATCATTTCAAAGTCAGTCTTGTCTTTTTCTTTTACTACGTCTTAAGTTACGCTAATAAAACAAAAACTAAAAGCTAATTTTACATACATGGCAGAGACATTTTTTCTTGTTAAATATGCTTTAGAGAGAAATAGGATATTAGCTTAAAATAAGCAACTTCTGAAACAATATACTGCGTTTCCTCCGTAAAATACATAATTTCTTAATTTGTTTTTCAAGGTGAAACAATGAAATTACCGTAAATCTTTTTTTCTTTCAGCAAATAGTTACAAAATTGGACACAATTTTTTTTTTTCAAATCACAGTTCAAAATTCCACCTTTTTATACAGGTCCTTCTCAAAATATTAATATATTATGATAAAGTTAATTATTTTCCATTATGTAATGATAAAACCGGAGCGGGAGAGGTTGTGTCACCCAGATTTGTGTCCCCCAGTGTGTATTTTCCCACCGACGTACGTTCTTCTCCCACACAAAAACAGAATTTCATGTCAAATGTAGAAATTCCACCTTTACACTAGATTTCGCGTTAATTTGCGAATTCCGCGATTCCGTGATCGCGGAAATTATAGGGCCCTACATAGTTGGCCTTCCAATCTTGCCTTCAGAGGACGCAGTTTGTAAAAGGATGCAGTTTGTAAAACTTAATCTAAAAAAAAAAAACTTTTTATTACAATTTAATATGTATACAATTAAAATAAAAGTTGAAATTTCAAAAATAAAATGAGAAAAGTAATGTGAAAAAATAAAATTTGAGAAAAGCTACAAATTTTTCATTTCCATTTACAAAATGTGTTCCTTGCTAAAAACGAAAATAGAACAAAAGTGACTCCGTAGAGAGAAACCAACTGGTAGAAAAAAATAATTGAAATAATCTGCTAAATAAAAGAAAAAAACCCGGACAAGTTATTTGCCTCTCATTTTTATTACTGAAATGTCATACAAATTTCAAAACAATGGTATCATTTTTACATTTACTTTACATGCAACCCAGATAGAAAAAAAACTCCACATCAATCGGAGGCATTTCAATGCAACAGAACCGAAAGTACATCGAGTAAATGGCTCAACCTGAGACTCTTCACAGTTTACATTTAATTCAACCGTTAATCAAAACGGCTTCTTCTGGGTCGATTTTTTTCCAGGAATGGCGCACATAAAAGGTCGCTTGAAAAGACGCCTTACGGTCGGCTAACTCCAGAACGAACGTGCGCCATTTTACCGTGGAAACAAAAACAAGTCTGCAGCCGACGGATCTGAGGCACTAGCAGTTAATGATTAAATGAACCAATTCAAAGGACTTTTCTGTTCAAAACGCAACCCGAACACAAGGGATGTCCGACGACATCCGCAATACTCTGTTCGTCCAGGTACAAAGGCTCAGTGGACATTAAAGCTGAAAACAGCTTTGAAATAAGATAACAGAGAGCAGCATGAGGTAGAGCGTCCAGAGGAAACGCTTCCTGCCTGTAAACTAATGGACCGAGGCCATCGAACGTCTCCCTCCTCGTCGTTTTGGAAGAGACACAGTAATGGCGTCTGCTGCCTGAAGGTGAAAGGAGCAGCCATCTTTGTTCTCACATCAACAGCCTCATACGTGAACATTAGTGTGGCTAGAATGACTTAAGTTAGAGATGGAAAATTGAAGGCAATATCCCAGTGTACACCAAGTGGAGAAAATATCCGTGCGGATCAGAAAATACCGATAATGAAATACTCAACCCGACATAGAACATAATAAATCTAATAAATCTACATTAAATTAAAGGACAACAAAAAGGCACAGTCTCTCTCTCTCTTTTTTTTTTTAAATGATGAAATTAAATATATTTTCCATAAAGTTCTCCAAAATAAGGTAGCAGCTATGTTCACATCTAGAAATAAAAATAAATCAAAAGAAAGATATCGGGGGTCAAACATTTGAATCCAGTGAAAGACGAAAAAGAAAAAAGGCTCTGAAGCCCCAAAATAATGTAAGTTCCTGCAGGCATTCTTCCAGTGGGTTACCCGTCTGCTCTTTGCTTTAGGAGCTCTTGTCGGTGGCCCCGTAGCGCTGGTTTGGGAACGAGGGTGGGGGGTCCCTCCTCTGCAGGTTGGGCAGGCCGGGCAGGGGCTGGAACAGCAGAGTTCTTGGACCTGGGCACAAATATTTCACATTAACTCTCTCATCTCTCAGCCTTTCAGAAATAAGTAACAAAGTACAAATACTTCGTTACTGTACTCAAGTAGATTTTTCAGATATTTTTACTTTACTTTACTACTTATTTTTATGGTGACTTTTTACTCCTTACATTTTTACACAAATATCTGTACTTTCTACTCCTTACATTTTT